ACTATTGAAATAAAGTGGAGGGTTTCTATTTGAAAAAAATGATTTATGGTAATTTTTTAATCGCTCAATTCCATGACAGCTGCGGTCATTATTATATGACATTCGAACAATTTAATTTTTGAAATAGATAGCCACATGTCTTCTCTTTATGGCACAGTGGCTGTCGTATAATCACTAAATTTGATGTTTAGGTTATATGCATATTTTTGACTGGCAGTTTTTTTCGTCCAAAAATTTTAAATATTTTTTTTTCTCAAAAACGGTTAATGTTAGATATAGAGTGTTTAATATCAAAATTCATAAAATTTTACAGAGAATTTAAGTATGTAATAAAAATGGGGGCACCCATTTAAAATAAGAAAGTTGGTGTCAACTTCCGGTATATCCGGAAGTACCGCCATATTGAAAATATTTTTAATCGATAGATCTGGTTGTGAAACAATGATGTGCAAAAAATCTCCGGTCCGATCTAGATATTGTGGTTCTTTAGAAACTTCTAATGCACGCTCACCCTGTATATATATACTTTATTCTTAACAAAGAATCACTCTTTAAAATTTTACGCATTTGTTCTGAAACACCCTGTATAATACTTCTTTCTAAGATGTAATTTAATACACTTTTTTACACTCTTTCTTAACTGTCATTATTCAAAATAAATTTAAGTAATAAAATCTTTTAATTAAACTCTCGAATGCATTATAAATCAATTTCGGAAAATATAAAACCCTACACGGAACTGATTAGAAAAGTTCTCAGTTTCCACTACCATTTCCCGAGCAAGCACCCTTTAAAGTTGGAGCCGGTGAAATATTAACACTAAGTTTTTCCTTCCGCTCAAAAAGTAGGCCATGAATTTCAAATTTGATTTGAAGTTTACGGGTCGGTACGTCGTAAAGGGCGGCTTATTTAATTTTGACAGTTTTTTTTGCTCTCTCTGTTTTTCGAAGGAAAAAAAGACAAGGGAAACATGTTAATGAATATATAAAAATTGTATAAAAGCTTGTGTGTTTTTAAAATTGAACTGAAAAAATTAAAAAATGAATGCTGCCTTCTATTATTAATTGAAATACATTACTTAAGGGTTTCAACTTTCCAATTCTAGAATAATATTATTTAAATTTGTATAGAATGCTATTATCTACAGAGTTGTTCACCACATACGACACGGAGGATTGTAGCTACATGATGAGATTTTTACAAATTGTAAGTTTTGGGTTTGTTGAAGGACTATTAGAGCTACAATTTAAACATATTTTTACAAGATACAGAGTGTCTCAAATAAATAAAAAAATATCAAAGTTGTATTTTTTTAAATGAAACACCCTGTATATTATTACATTTTTAGTTTCTACGATTAAAATAAAGGCAAATTTGATTAAGGTTTATTACACTTAAACTTTACCGTTTTTGAAATATTTTCAAATTTGTGAATTTGCTGTAAAAATTTTAAGGCTTCATTTCTCCAAGGGTATCAAAGTTTTTAATACTAAATATTTACTGAAGTTTATTTATTGATCAGTTATTGTGTTGCAATAATAAAAATTATACTACCTTATACAGAGTGTCTAAAATTTTATTTTAAATAATTGCTAGCTTTAAACGGCAATAACTTGTTTAATTTAAATGGAATACCCTGTATATTTTAGGAGAATCAGATGCATAATTTAATTGTCTATCAAATTGTATTATACCACTTTTTACCTATCCCTTCAAGTTTTCGTAGAAAATGCATTTTCTTATAATTTATATTTATACTAATAATAATTTATCAATATACCCATGGAATATTGACATTTCAGATTGTTTTTAAAGCAACAAATGTACAAAATATACAGGCTAGTAATATTATCGTTTTTAGCAAAATGATAATATTACTAGCCCATTTGTATGCAAAAAGAAAACTATTTCAATCTTTATAAAAGAGTATTACCATTAATATGACCATTAATTAAATATACCACCATTATTTCCGCCCAAATGCTAATTAATTACATACTTAATTATGTTCGTTAATAAATTATTCTAAATAAATGTGGATTTGAATCAGAAATCAATATAATAATAAGTTATAAAAATGAATGTCTCTGTTGTTATAAATAAGCATTTGTCAAAAAATGAAATTTCATTTTTGAGGTGTTACTTTTTACCACACTGTCTAAAACACATAAAAAATTCAGTTTTTTAGTATTTGGAGCAATTATTATTAATAAACCAAACAAACAGTCAATTAATGTAGTTTGAATACTGGAATTATATTAATTGGTTCTCTAACAAATATTTAAACAGTTTTTTTTATTTTTTAATGAAATAAACGAATTATATCGACAATATTAGTATCTGTACTCTTTAAAAATTTGGTACATCTTTAAAAATAATCTAAAATGTCAATAGTCCATGGGTATATTGATAAATAAGTTCTAAATTACAAGAAAATGCATTTTCTACGAAAACTTGAAGCGGTAGGTAAAAAATGGTATAATACAATTTGATAGACAATTAAATTGTTCATCTGATTCTCATAAATATACAGGGTGTTCCATTTAAATTAAACAAGTTATTGCCGTTTAAAGCTAGTAATTATTTAAAATAAAATTTTAGACACTCTGTATAAGGCAGTATAATTTTTATTATTGCAACACAATAACTGATCAATATATAATATCAAGTTTATTAACTTCAGTAAATATTTAGTATTAAAAACTTTGATACCCTTGGAGAAATGAAGCCTTAAATTTTTACTGCAATTTCACAAAATTGAAAATATTTCAAAAACGGTAAGGTTTAAGTGTAATAAACCTTTATCAAATTTACCTTTATTTTAATCGTAGAAACTAAAAATGTAATAATATACAGCATGTTCCATTTAAAAAAATACAACTTTGATATTTTTTTTAAATTATTTGGGACACTCTGTATCTTGTTAAAATATTTTTAAATTGTAGCTCTAATAGTCCGTCAACGAACCCAAAACTTACAATTTGATAAAATGTAATCGTTTAGCTACAATACTCCGTGTCGTATGTGGTGAACAACCCTGTATAACTGGGTTTTTTTTCAGTTAAGATTTCGACAGACGATGACAGAAAAAAAGCAGATGACGTCCATACCAATCCATTTATTTAACTAAAAAAGTTTCTAACATTTTTTTAAGTTAACTATGGATGGGTTTATATCTAAATCCGTCATGCGTCATCTCTTGTTGTTTTTAACCAGTTTTATTGGTTTATTTCAAAAATTACAGATCATATTTCAATATTATTGGTTTGGATGCGTATGGACTCGACTTTTTGAAAGTTGTCAAACTCTTGCCAAATTATAGGTTATAATTTTGTGTCAAATTATGTCAAATAGAAATGATAAATATTGTGTATTTTGGACTGTGTTATTACGCGTGTTTCGTGTCTTTTAAAATTAAGTGTTGACCCAGGAGGAAAACTCTAGGGAAAATTAAGTGTTGACCCAGACCATAGTTTACAGTTAATATTCGGTGTCCAGAGACCGCCAGAGACAGTTTGTCAGAGATTATGGCCAGAGAGTTGTATTAGCCACAAATAAAGTTTGTATGCCATCTTGTATATGGCACCAAAAACTGGAGTATCTGTAAAATATCAGCACACGATAGGTAAATAATAAATTTTAGTACCGCCGAGAGATAATGTCAAAAGCTGCTGGTTTACAAAAATTAAAATTAAAGTTAATTAACCAACTTTTTTAAGGTATAAAACTCAGTAAGTGTTATTATTAATATAATATTTTGTTTTGTTTATTTTCTGTTTTATTTATTCCTTTGCAATAATTATTTATTTTTATTTTTACATAAGTTGTATTGAAAAATGTAACAATAACGATAAATGCAGGAAGTTGCTTAAGCTTGAAACACGGTTTGGTATGTGGTTATGCATACTGTAATTGTTTTTAATAAAATAACTCGATTAGATTTGTTTCAATTTTATACAGTTTTCTTCACAATATTTTGAAGTAATCATTTGAAAATTTTTTTATTATCTAGCTGCATCTTTTCTCGATAGTTTATTTTTTAGTTCATTTCAATAACTTTATTTTTTGGGACATATTCGCTTTTGAAGAAGACACTAATTTTTTCGTAATTTTTACATTAAAACCATGCCTTTGCTTTTGATCCTAGTCAGCTCTCAATCGTAGTCAGCATGAAATAGTGTTTATGATTTATATAACGCCACTCTAAAAAGCATATTATTATACTCTTGGCTGTTGGGCAGATAATCTAGCAGATATGGTTTTAAGTCCAGAAATTGTATCCGCTATAAAGTTGCTTTAATAATTGAAGATGATAGAGTTCAAAATTATGTCGCTAACAGATTTAAGTGTGCACGAAGTACAGTGCTCGAGACAAGTTCATATATGCTTGAAGTCCTCTCTTCGCAGAAGAACTTCGAATCGATAAGATCGACTTATTGCAGTCTTAGTTGTAATTTATAGTGAATTGCGCCCAAGGAACGCACAAATAAGTGAACGGACTGTAAGAAGAAGATCAAATGAAAGAAATCTTATATCAAGGAGGCCTGCTTCGGGACCACAACTCACTTGTTCTCTTGACTAGGACCAAAAGCAAAGACATGGTTTTAATGTAAAAATTAGGAAATATTTTTTCTTCAAAAGTGAATATCTCCAATAAAAATAAAGCTATTGACATGAATCAATAAACAAACTATCGAGAAAGGATGTACCTAGATGATAAAATGATTTTGAAATCCCTTGCTGTCTTAACATATTCCACAGGGTGTTCCAAACATTCACCAAAATATCAACATTTTGTTTTTCCTCGTATAATTGACAGATGGAAACATATATTATTAATTTAGAAAGGAATACTAAAAAGTCAAATAATTTAGCTACACAGTGCTTAAAAAATCATCAAAATCTGCTAATTAGAAAAAAAATGTATTGAACTTTAAAATACATCAAAATTTTAAGTTGTCTGTTCTTCGTGCCAGTGAGTGTATATAAAATATACTTACTTAATAATTGTCAACAAGTTCTGGAGTTTGAAGGCATTTTACTAATTCTGGAGTGCTCTAAGGAATAGAGCCGAAACACCTGCAACAAAAAATCCACAATTAAATACATATCTATTAAAAAAATTCTATAGATGATTGATTGTGGAGATAACAGATGGACACAAAATGATATAAAAAAGTTAACAATTTTTGTAGTATTATTATCAACAATGTACAGAAATCCCACACTTATACCTACGTTTTCTAATTATTTTATCAATCAATGAAGGAGAATATTCATTACACTCAGCTACATTCCTAATGTAATGTCTTTCTATTTTATATCTTTTGATGATAAGTATGGAACACTAAGTAGTCTATGAACTAAGTTTTGGTCTTCTTTGATGTATCTTTGTTGTTCCTAAGTGTTCTAATTAGGACCACAATAGGTCGCGGTGGATCAAACCGATAGCCACCTCGAAAAATTTAAGTGCTTCAATTCCACATACTTTAGGTAACTTGAAAGAATTACTGAACGCAAATGGTCTCGACAACAAAGCTGTGACTGAATATATTAAACTTACCGCCGCTCTATATGAACCAAAGTTGTTTTCAAATTAAAAACTTTTTTCGATAGAGAGAAGGTACGGCAATGGATAATCCATTGTCTCCATTTTTGGCTAATTTATAAATGAGCAGGTTTGAAGTAGAGGCTAAAAATCAGTTTGAGTATTTTCCAAGAGTATGGTTTAGATATGTAGATGATATATTTGCCGTTTTTAATATACATTCTGATACCAAGATAACTTTATTTCTAAATTAAATAATCGTTTTCCTTCCATTAAATTTTTCAATGACATTGAGAACAACAATAGATACTAAACTAGAAGTATTAGTTATTAGAAATATTCATATTTGCCTGAAATTTGATATCGATAGATAAAATACCACTATATACAAATAATATTAAATAGAAAGAAATTACATTATAAATGTAGCTGGGTCTAATATTCTCCTTCATTAGTTGATAAAATAATTAGAAAACATAAGTATAAGTTTGCAATTTCTGCAAATTCGACTTTTCAAGTGGAGAACGATACGTCAGATTATCAATTGTATAGTTGTGTATAGCACTAATAATAAATTACAACTATTAGTTAATCCTAAAGAAAAAACACCTCCACTAGAAAGGTCGAGTATTAATAAAATTTCATGTAAAGATTATAATCAAAAACATGTCGGTCAAACTAGATTAATTTTAACTAAATTTAAAGAATTTACGGCTCAGATAAGATATGGTAGAGCGGATATCTCGCATTGTTCAGCTATTTTTGATAAAATTTATTGTATAGATGTTAATAATTTAAAATTAATCAAAAACAAGTCCCAAATTACAAACAATTAGATGTCATATGACAGCGTCAAAATAAATAAATGCAAAGATAATATGAACAGAGATAATGGTCCAATTCATTCCAGCTCTCTATTCACCCTGTTGCTTTAGTCTCGTTAATTAATAGACATAATAGCTTTCTTATTTTGATTTTGACAGTATTTTATTATCTTTTGTATCGATTCGATAAGATAATTCTACCCTTATAAAGAGAAAATACTACTGTCACCTCCTATCGATCCTACTTCTGTTTTATTCAGAAGTTATGTGCTATTTTTGTGATACTCCCCGATCTGGGACTGACACTTTTGCCTTAAACTGTTTTATTTTTAAAGAGGCTTTTAAAAATTCACCCCCTGCTGCGTTAAAAAGGCCAGTCAAGTGTAGGCCATGTTATATTGAAAGCTCTATATACAGTGTGATATATAACTAGTTGTTTATTTAAACAGTATTAGTAGATTTACATTAACAATAAAGTTAGTATAAATATTTTAGAAATTTTGTGAATTTTAGAAATTTAGCAAGTAAAATCTACATTAGAATTAGATCAGATTTTTCGAGGTGGCTATTTGTCTGTTCTATTGTGATATTTTCAGATCTATTGTGGTCATCTTCTGATTTTTAGGTTATATTCTCCAGACACATTATCCTTTTTAAAAATCTCTTAACTTGGAGCCTGAACCATCCATATAGCTCTTTGTCAGAAGCTTAAAGAACTGCACATTTGTCAGGCTGTAGACCCGACATAAAACGTGTTCTGTCGTTTCTTCTTCAGATCGACAAAAGCTGCACAAATCTGCATTAGCACACTAAAGCTTTGACTGTCTTTTTTTTGCTTATCAGGTATGTCGTGAATTTTGGCGAAAGTTCTACTATGAACTTATGAGCCTGTCTTTGCTTTGTTAAATTTCTCCACCGTTCTAGAAATTTGTTATCCACCCACAGTTTTATGGCCATTCATGTGACTGCTTTTGCAACGCTGCAAAATGGTATTGGACTTATGAATGGCATTGATTCATCTTGTTTGGCTATTTCATCTGCTTCTTCGTTATCCTTGTGTGCCTTTTTGTTATTATTTATATAATATATATAATATAGCTATAATTTGTTAAGAGAATGCATACAATCTCACACTTTAGCGCTACTTGACGGTCTCTGACATGGTCTCAGACTACTGATTGGTCTCTAAAATGGCCACTGAACGGTGTGTTCTTTGCTGCCTTATTATATCTTCTTTGACACACCAATGAGTCAGGTTTGTAATTCAAAATAATCTTGTAAATTGTAGGGGAAGGAGAAGTTAATGACCCCGACCTTACAGATCTATCGTGTCCCTCTTTTTTGAGTTATAACTCATCATACAGTCTCGGGGCTTTCACACAAACCAGTATCTGAGACGGTTTTAAGATTTTAGTTCTCCAACTCCGATATCAGTAGTACCAAAATTTATGCCACTAGTTGTCGTTTTGGCGCAATCAGTAATGAGGTGTTTTGGTATTTCCTCAGGTTAGTGAGTTATTTATTGAGGAAACAGTGTTCTGTTAAAAATTCCATGACAAATAAAAGATTGTTCTTACTTAAATCAAGAAAAATGTTGATTTTTCTCGATCGTAAGTTCTGGGAAATATCTTTGAGTCTTAGACCATTCTCATTCCAAGTTACGGATGGAGTCTTCCAGGTTCTTGAGTTTTTAACTTGGTTTCCCCTTGGTTAAGTTGGAAGCAGAACGATTGGCATCCAGTTAGTAAAGTGTTCGTTCCTTTTCTAGCTAGATCGTTTGCTTTTTCATTACCCTCTATCCCTCGGTAGGCTGACACTCACAGTAGGAGGCCTCTATAATCTAAAGTAAAGTAAAGATTTCAGTTAACGTCTCCTTTTTGCTGCCAGGGCTAATCTGAACGGGGCCTACTTTGTTTACAAGGAATCCGAAACGCGGTCCTCGGCCATATTGGTGCGTTTAGACTTGAGCACGCACGCACTGATCCTCCGCGAATGCTCAAGTGTAAACGGTTGTGCGCGCACGCTCACTCTGAACGTGAGCCGTCTGGTGTCGGTTTTTGGTCCGTGCTCAAAGGGATTTTATGTGTGCGCAGACGCTCAATTTGGACCGGCAATTTGTTTTATCTGCGTTTGTGCGTGCGTGTGTGATTTTTTTTTCGTTTTCTTTATTAAAATTATGGAGTGAATCAATGAATCTTCGTTATTATTAATTGAAAAATATGAAAAGTTGCCTATATTATTGGATGTTAAACACTCTTTGTATTATTAAAAAATCAAAAAAAATATAACGCATGGCAAAACCTTGTAAATAAAATTAATATTGAATATGTCGATATTAATGAAATTGCTATTCTAAAATTTGTATCTTTTGTTCGTAATTTTTGGTGTTATTAAATTTTGAAAATATTTAAAGTCGGGCCTGGTCATTCTTGTAAAGTTTATGAACTAATCTTAGCCCTCCTCAGACACTAAGTTTCTAAAAATTTGGGTTTGTCATTAGCGACGATGTTTTCGATTTTTCTTCTTTTTAATAATTAAGCTGTGCATAACAATGACTTCAGCCTCGACTATTTCTTGGTCGTCCATTATTTTCGCCAACACAACTCTGCTGTGCGCGCAAAAATGGATCACTTTATTCGTCGAAAAATAAGTTTTTAATTTGAACGGAGCCGAGAGCGCGAACGAATGCCGTGCGTGCACGCTCAGCTCGTGCGTGCTCAAGTCTAAACGCACCATATCATGGTCAATGGCCTACCGACTTGGCAAGTGTCTAAATCGACTCTTACTCACGAGATATCCGATCTCATCCGGCCTCGAACGAGCGTGAAAGAGCAGTGTGTGTCAATAGATTTTACACTTTTGCCTTTTTTTTGGACAACAGCACGATACAGAGTTTCGAACTGGTCACCCGTTCATCCACTAGCATCACCTTGCGTCGCTTAACTTCGGTGTTCTAATGGGAACCGGTGTTTCGACGTAGCTGGGCCGTTGCCCGCCTCTATAATCTAATCGATTCCTTATTTTTTGATGTCACTAGCAAAGTATAATTAAAATTTTCCTAAAAACTTATACTATGGTTTTTATACCTAAAAACTACTATGGTAAATGACACAATAATTCCATATTGATAAAATTCATAATCTAACTACCTACTTCTACTGGAATTTATCTTGTCCAAGCTGAAATTATTTTATTTGCTGATTCCATACTGGCAGCAATTTAATTTTAAAGCTTCAACCGTATCAACTAAATTAAAACAACTGTAGCGGAAAAATTCCCCATGCTCCTATTGTGTGCTAACACATTTTAGTAGAACTTGTTCATTTGTTTGCGTTAATTGCATTAGTTTAACTGTAAAATATCTTTTTCATACATACGCTGTATTTGAATACTTATACACCATTTTTGAATGGTTTTTGTATATCAGTGAACACTATATGTCCATGGGTAGGCTTTACGTTAAAGTAAAATTCCCAGTTTATACAGGATGGCGCCTCTCATACGACGCGGAGGCTCCAAGGAGGACGACACCCAAGCAGCATTTGGACGTCGGGACAACGTTGTGTCACGCGACCAAACGTCGGGGCGCAACGTCAATACAACCTCGTGCCAACCCTAGTCTGGAGACTAGCACTAGTTTGGAGAATAATTTTTGGGTCGAAACGACGTTGGATACCGACGTTGGCTAGAAGCCTAATTTAGTACAA